GAACTTCTTAAACTCCACCAAGTGTCATGAGCACATAGCTTTGGGATGGATGTGCAGTCAGTTACAGCTCCAAGCTGGCCCATGGTGCAAGGCTGGATTAATGAGGGGTGTCACTTGCAGCCCAGCATGAAGCAAGTGGAAAATTTTCCTTACTGGTCATCCAGCTCTGTTCAAAAGAGAATTTCATTGATTTTGCCCTAAAAACAAGCACTAAAATGTTATATTCTCTTGTAAGAGGGAGATAAATTTCCCTCAAGGCAAACTTCATCCCTTTCCTCAGATTTTACAATTACCAAGAGAATTTCCAATTGAATTGTTTGTACTCTCAAATACCTCAGTCCCCCCAAAATGGCGTGCAGCAAAGAAGGCATGGTCTGTAGCCCCCCTTTCAATAAATGATTTGACGTCAGGATTCTGATGATTAACACTCAAGGAACAGCTCCTCTCTTTCAAAAATGGAGAGGGTCCTGTCTTGCAGTTGCAAAGCCAAGTCCTCATGCTGGATGATGAGACCCTGCCACGGATCTAGGGGTTCCGTGGGAAGAAGCCAGCCCGCCATGCCAGCTGAGCCTCTTCAGGCAACCGTGCATGTGAGTAATATGTGTGCTCCTAGCAGAGAGGTGAAATGGTAAAATTCTGGGGTTACTGTGTGTCAGATTATCTAACATGCATCTCCTTCAGCCAAGAAATTCATTCCTAAGAATTTACCCTAAAGAGGTATCATGTGTGTGAATATATTTACATACAAAAATTTCATAAGAGCAAAATATGTACGAAAGGAAATGGATTTGTAAATCATGCTATGAGATACTATAATGCCTTTCTGAAATGAGGAAGCAGGTGTCGGTGAAGAAAATATACTCCTATATATTACTGAACTAGAAAGTAGGTTACAGAATCATATGTACGTGAAATAGCTTATGCACAGAGATATTTTAGAACTCAAAGATAGGTGACCTTACTTGGGTCCTATTTGAGCATCACTGCATTGTTTTAGTCCCTTTCATTAAACATGAAATGTCTACCTGTAATATTTTTAAAACAAATACCGGGGCTGGGGATTTAGCTCAGCAGCAAAGCGCCTGCCTGGCAAGCGCAAGGTCCTGAGTTCGGTTCCCGGTACCGGAGAAAAACCAAAAAATAAATAAATAAATAAAACAAATACCATTCTAAAAAAATAGTAAATATAATTTTTGTCAAAATTGATAGCACCTGAATATTCACAACTATAAACACATCCAACATGCAGGACAAATTGAATCGTTATTTATTTTACAAAAATCACATAAACCTATATCATTAGAATGAGGCTCACTGTCTTGCTATAGAAATTTTATCTACTGTAGGATATCTTGAAATGCACACTTTAAAGTTTCCTAACATTCATGGGTTTTTAAGTGAAGCTTTATTTGAGAAATCACTGCAACGATAGTTCATTAGAATTGCCTCCAGCGGGGCTGGGGATTTAGCTCAGCGGCAAAAGCGCCTGCCTGGCAAGCGCAAAGTCGTGAGTTCAGTTCCCAGTACCGGAGAAAAACCAAAAAAAAAAAAAAGAATTGTCTCCAGGATATTGAGTTACTTCAGTTCTTTCAAAGAAAGCACATCCCAGGGACTTCCCCACCCAGTTCCAACCTGTCCAACTGCTAGCTGCGGCGGGGGACGGTGCCAGGTGAAATAAGCGTGAGCTTCCTTTTAAACGGTTTTGTGTGGCTCAGTAACACCTGCTTAGTTTAAGAGGAGAGGGGAGCGCAAGGCCAGACGACGAGGCAGAGCTGCACAGTGTCAGGCTGCTTTCACGGGGGAATTACGTTAGATTTCCCGCTGCAGTCCAAATACAATAATAAAGTGTGGGCAGCGTGTTTAAATGACAACAGAAGGGAAAGATTTCATTCACCCCAGCTAATGGAAAGCTTTCAGGAGTGACATCATAGCTCAGAGCCCAAAAGCAAACGCGAGCGGACTGCAAGGCGCGGGCCGGCAGCAGAAAGACAAATGGCGATACCCGCCCGAACCCAGGCACTGCGCATATATTTTGTGGCCAGAAGAGTGCTTGGGGTTGTGGGAAAAGGCAGAAATGGAAGGTGAGCGCTTTCCTTTGCTACACAAACACAGGAGGAGAGACAAAGAGGAGAGTGGCTTCATGCTCAGCTGAGAAACATCTAGACTGGAGACACGGCCCGTGTTCAGAGAGAAGTGAGAGCGGCCAGATGTTCCTGGAGACGTACAGGCCCAGCCAGACCAGGCCGCAACCCCATCGCGAGGAGAAGCGACAGCGGCTGAGAAGAGGAGGCAGGGGCACCAGGAGGAACAGGGCGAGCACCACACCACAGCCCAGCCCCAACACTTGAATCCTTTCTAACACTTGTTACCACCTGACACATGGTGAAAATAAAGACTAAGGCGCCCCAAAAGGTTAATAGGAAAACGAGGTGCCTAAAGGAGCCATCTCCCTCAGTGCGTGGAAGAGCTGGGAGATCCTTTCTAGGGCAGGCCATCAGGGGCGCAGGAGGATGACCGCTTCAAGTGGCAAGAGGCGGGTCCAGCATGGCGGTGCTGACAAAGCACAGCGTGTCCCCAGTGCTACCCTGCACTCTCCCCGGGGCATGGATAACAGCCAGTCCACAAAGCTCAGACAGGTTAAGTCATCGGTGCAGTATTTCAATACCCATCCCTTCAATTCTGCAGATTTCAAAAGTCTTGGTCTTGGGGTTGGTCTATAGTCTTAAACACTATTGAGGCATTTATGTGGAGTTCAAATACATAAACACATAGACTAGAGAATAAGATATGCGTGTATGTACATATTCATCACATGGTAGGTTGAAACTGAATAACGGTTAGGACATAAGGATACAAGAGCACACATTCCGTCAGCCACTAGAACAGTGAGACCGTCGCACGCCCTGTACCTTGTCAAGTTTCCACCACACACTTGACAGAAAATAAAAGCACTGACAAAATCATGAGAATGGTTTGATCTCTCGGCTTGCTCAGGAAGACCTAAGACCTCTCACACTGTGAGAAAAGGTTAATCCTCCACTCTGTGCTTTATTTCCTAAATCAGACCGGGGTATGTTCTGGGCATACCCTTCACACTCTGCCTGAGCACCCTCTATGCCTCAGCTCCTACAACCTCTGTGCTCAGCGCTCCCACACTAAGCCCGCCTCCCCAAAGCACTGTGATGCTTAAGCTTCTTTGCCCGGGAGCCCATGCAGGGTCTGTCGGGCACCATTTGCTTCTCTGAGATTTGCTCTCTAATTCTCATGGCTCAGTGAAATGTCACCCAGCTCAACCCCAAACCAACTTGGTCATTTTCCTTGAAGAGCTCTTCTAGCTCTGCTTCATTTGACATAGTCCATGGCTTCTTCACGAGTTAGTAATGTATCTCCTTCCCTCCTTTTGCTGATATTTGTTCAAAACTGTTTCATCTACTTTGTCTCAAGACTCTAAGGTGACTTATCAATGGCTGATAGGACTGAAAATGATATTCTCTTTGTGCCTTTCTGCAGGAAAATCTGTTAACATGGAAGTGTTTTTCTACATATTATAAACCAATACAAGCATTGTTGCTGGTGATACACAACTCTATGTGGTTTATATACAGTACTTTCAGTTCATTTTGCAACTAACAGCAAGAGGTAGACGTTCACTGGATTGGATAATCATATTTCCTGTTTCATTGCCCATATGTACATATTCCTTCTGGCCTGCAACTTTTGCTACATATTTACATTCCCTTGGTTTTATCTTCATGTCCAAGTGGCAGATTCCAGACCTTCTTCATGTCCCATTTCCTGAATTCCTCATGGGCTACTGTTTATTTATGACCAGGCTACATAGGATCTAAACTTCTAAATACAAACCCAGCTTTTTAACTTTGCAGATGTCAATTAGCTGAACGTTCTTTTGGAAACAAAAACATCTCCCAGTGACCACCAGGGAGCCGAATTAACTGGTTGCCTTGTAAAGCTCAGAAAGATTTGTGGGGGATATTTGTAAAGGATTTTATCTCCTAGAATAACCAGAACACAGAGTGTTTGAAGTAGCAACGTGACACATACTCATTACCAACAAAGGGCTTTCCACCTCTTGCACAAAATCTGAACTACCCATTGCTGTGAGAATGCAGAAGCTTCTACAGATGGGAAAGAAAAGAAGGGGCTGGAGTTATTGTTTAATTGGCCGCAAGCTGGAGACTTGCTTCTGCTCAACTCCTGCTGTGCTGTCACCATCAGGCCTGAGGTGATCACAACAGTAAACTAACCTGGGATGGTGTCACTCCTGCATCAGACCCCCAGGCTTCCCCACCCCCAGCTCCACCCGCTCTCCGCCCTGGACCTCCCGCCCTCTAAGAACGGCTGTGGTCTGGGCGACATCTGTTCTCCCGGGGAGCAGAGCTTCTTCATTGAGATGCAGGTAGCACTCCTATAAGCGGGGGCTGTGGAGCGTCATTAAAGAGGTGAGGAGACGAACAGCGCTCGCCTTGCATACCAAGTGGCATCACATTTAACTGAATCATTTTATTATGAATACATTCCAGGCTGCCACTGTGAACCACTCGTGTAAAATATGCTGGCAAAATGCATCTCTGCTAATTACCTTTCATGCATATTTCAGAACTTTCCACAGGCATACAGGAGAATGATGCTCATAAAAGGGAATTTTATACCAGGTTCACTTGCATTTGGCTCAAGACCCAGACTAACGTGTAACAAAGAAAAGTTCAGTTATACATTATGGTCTGTGTTTGTTTTAGCTGGAATGTTGTCATTCCTCATAACTCTATCAGTGCTGCTGTAGGAACAGGCTGAAAATGAAGTTCCTCTTCCAGTCTGCCTGGAAAACAACCTTGCAGAAAAGCACGTGGCTCTTCGGTCATTTTCTCCCCATGTTTGTTTTTCTAGATTTGTTTTCCACTTTGTATTGGACTGAAATAAAGAAACAAGGCTCTGGACCTGGGGCTGTTGTAGGTGGGTGACAGGACAGAAAGCATCCTTACCTGCTTCAGGAGCGGATTGTAAAGAACACAAGTGACTGGTTTTCCGTGACTTCTCACCCTCTTGCTGGTTTCAGTTTTCATTGCCAGCAAGGCCAGTTGGTTATTGAATGCAATGAAAAGCCGTCCGTGGGTTTCGTCGAAGTGGAAGAGACATGTGAAGTCCTGACTTTTGGGGAAAGAGCAAGCTATCCTCTGGATGGACAGTTGGTGATGAATATCCCAGAGTCTCAAAATCTAGATGAAAAGTGATAAAAGTGCAAAAATATGTCAAGGAAAATTCTAATTTTTCACAACTTTTTTCTAGCTCACTCTCGTCCCCAGGCACACAGTTGTTTTTACCAGTGTTAAAATTGGTTCCTACTTCTGTCCTAGAACACGTTATAGTATGTTTCAGGATCTACTTAAATACTGCCTAAATTTTAAGCTCCTCCAGGGAAGGCTTTGTGTTTTATCCAAGTCCTCAGAATAGGGCTTCGCCTTTAGAATGTGCTTATAGCTAGAATCAGATGCTCTCAGATTCTGTGACTATGATCTTTTCCCCACTGCTGGGGATTTAACCCAGGCCCTTCACACTGGGCTACATCCCCGTCCCCCCTCTTACTTTGCTTTTCTCATTTTAGGAAGGGGTCCCACCAAGTCACTAAGTTGCCCAGGCTGGGCTTGAACTCACGGTCCTCCTTCCTCAGGCTCCCAGAATGCTGGGACTATAGATGCGCATCACCACCCCTGACTAGATACGGCATCTTTCCAAGCAAAAATACTTTATGCAAGGATTATTATACCGAGAATTTGAGGTGCTAGGTTATGTATGTGTGACCAGTATAAGCAGAAGGGCCTCTAAATGTGGAAGAGAAACGCAGAAAAAGAAAAGATCAGAGTGCTGCAGTGTGAGGATTCTTCCCAGGCTTCTGGCTGAGAAAGTGGCAATTGGGGCTGTGACCCAAGAGAAATGGAAAACCTGCAGAAGTGGTTTATCCCGGAGCCTCCGCAAAGGAGCATTCCTCCCGCCAGAGCCCTGACTTTAGTGCAGCGAGAGCTGTGTCGGAATTCTAGCCTAGACGGCAAAAAATACTATAAATCAGTGTTATTCCAACCCATTGCATTTGTTGTCATTTGTCATAGTACGAATGGAAAATTAATTCATTCTTATTCTCTATCTCTGTGTCTGTCTCTGTCTCTGTCTCTCTTTAATTTTTAGTAAAATAAAAGAAATGGAAGGAAATTCAGTAAATTAAAAGAAATTAAGGAAAATAAAGTTCAAGTGAACCACAGATATGAGATTCTTACTTAAAGATAATAAAATTACATACATGACATGTATTTATCAATGGATAATAGAAAACAAACACCAAACCCTTGCTTAGGAGTCAGGTTACTCTAAATCCAGCAGACATTAAATAATGGCTTTTCATATTTTTCATTACTTATAGCCCCCTTCATTCCAAGGAGAGTGAGTCACACTAAGGGTCCAGAGAACATAGTAGGAGAGCAGCTTTGCCATACAAGCCCTTGGCCGTCCAGGGAGAACAGAAAATGCAGGCAACATGGAGGAAAAAGTCAAAGCGAAGAGCATGAGAAACCTCTCCAAAAGGTGTTAGGGAGCAGACTCCAGGGGCAGCCCTTTTGGTTCTCTTCTGGATGCTGTCCCTTACTAGTAAGGTGACCACCAGCAAGTTTCCTTTTCTCTCTGTTTTTAGTGCAATCCCTACCTTATCCAGTGCTATGAGAATTAACTAAGAGCCATCTAGCATGACATAATAAATGTTAAATAATGCTCTGTATTGTTAAATTTATTTTATCACTTTTTATTATAGAAACATTACAACCTAGCAGCAAAAAATACTATTTCCAATAAACTAGTCCATCCCATTCAATGTGACAATTATTTCTAAATCATTTATAAAAGATAGTCTATCATGAAATGAAGATTTATTACCCCATTAGGCCAGCAATCTCATAATTCTTAACCTACTTCAAATCAAATACTTGCCTGGTACAAATCTGTTAAAAAGATTGTTCTATCCCCTACTTCCAATGCATACAATGCCCAAATTAATATCTTTTTTGGGTACATACACACACATATGAGCAGGTCCTGGGAATTTAGAGGGTAGTAATTTCTAGTAATAGCAATTATTAAATGTGGTAAACCAGAGATACTCATTTCTACCTTTGATTCTATTCTACCTCCTTTTCCCTACCCATGTAATTCTTCTCTTTAGCACCTTTACTACAGTAAATGATCTCAGTTCCTTTGAGCATCTTAAGAGCAGTTTTCAAATCCCCTTCTCCGTACGTAGCCTCTTGACTTTCTCATTTTGCCTTTGTTTCTATTTTATCTCCAGGGTAGAATATTTACCCAGACCTCATTTCCTTTTAAATAATGCAGTAAGAAGTGTCCATTTTATAAAATCAAGTAGCACAGGGCTCTTACCCTAACCCATGTCTCTCTCCCCTAAATACTACTTGAAGACAGCCTTCTTCAACTCTTCCTAAGTTATGGTTTACTCCAGAACACTAAATGATGCCATTATGTGTGTACTGTATATATTAATCATATACAAAGCATGATCAACAACTACTATGAAAGTTCAAATTTTTAAAAATTTCTCATAATAAAAGATACATTGCCATTAACCCCCACAAAAATACCTCACTGTACTTAAAACACATCCCATAGTTCTTGTCATTTCCTGAAGGAAGTCTGGAAGTCTCCTTTGCAAGTGTCTTCAATTGTGATATCCTGGCTGCCTCCTTGTTCTGAATTCATTCAAAACTTTACCTTTCATTTAACTGTGGAGAAAAGCAGAAGCTGCATGTTGTCAGCTCGGAGACTAAGGTGCGTGAGGACACATGGTAATGCTTTAGCCGCATACCTTTCCTTTGGGTAGCATACAGAGGGGCAACTTCCACCCTATTTCTGATCACACTTCATAAAGACACTCACAAAAAGGGACTTCCAAACCGCTTCAGAAAGTGGCAAGAACAATGGGACAAGTCAGTTCAAAGTGACAGGGAGTATTTTGAGGGATATTAATGGTAATGTGTCATGTCAATGTAATAAGTTCTTTTAATTTAAATATTCATCACAGATTTTAATCACACTACATATAAAATGACTGTCCTCTGAAAGAAAAGGAATTACTTATATTCTTCTCCTTTTCACTTTTCATTTTCCCCCCAATCTAAATATTTAACTTTTTTGGTCCTAGTGGTTATTGCATTTTAAAATAATATACACTAATTATTGCACCCACTAAGTTAAGATGCTATCTTTGAATGGTTTAAGGCACTAAATGACCTATTTTAAGCAAGGCATTCAGGACTGACCCAATAGTTCAAGTGAGCTCTAACAATTACAAGGGCTACGACTTTAAAGCAGCACACTCTTGCTTCGTTGATTAAACCATTCCATTGTGCTTTTTTACCTGCCTTGACATTTTGATTGAGCGAAACTGTAGATCTTATCTCCGTGAAGAATTAATCTAGCCAATGTCTACCACCTGCCTCTGAAAATTTGATTCTTTGACCTACAATTAGGAATTTTTCTGGTTTCTACCTAGTCTCAAAGTGGAAATATCATTTGGAATTGTAATTCAACCATGTTGACAATTCCTCCTTGGTTTTTCTACGTATTTCAAGGGACAGAGTGGATGTTGAATATTTTTCTAATTTTTTAAAATTATGTCCCATCAAATAACTAAGTTTTTATCCAATTCATCAATGTAAAGACTAGATAGGTTAGGTACAGTAATGTTTCATTATAACAAAAAAGTCTTTCTTTGTCCTACAGTTACTCACCCAGATCCCGTGTAACACACTGTAAAAACTTTTACGAGGCTTTTTCAATCATCTTACGAAGCAATTATGCTTGATGTGTACAGTAATCTCTCTCTCCAATAGTCCTTACAACACATTTGAAATGACCTAGTCAGTTCCTCCCAGAAAGAGGGCTTTTCCAACCCCTTTAACCACAGGAATAGATATTAAAGAAAAATGAGTTTCCCTGTTAAGAATTTGTGCCTGAGTGCCTGCTCTGGAGAACACACTAAACACATCCCCAGCCCTTTTCATTTTCTTTGATTTTGAAACAAGGTCTCTCTGAGGTGCTAAATTGCCCAAGTTAAGCTTGACCTTGCAACAGACTTGCTGCAGCTTTCTAGAGTGCTGGAGTTATAGGAACTTACAGCCACACTTGGTCTTAAAAAGAACTTTTTTTATTAAAGAATTAGTTGTGGTTGTTTTGCATTGCTAATTTTTTAAAAATTTTAAACGTCTGGCATCTCTCCTAAAAATGTTCATTCTCATATATATATAAATCCCTAGAAAACTAAGACTCGCAAAATATTTTAACCTTTGTAGGTACAAACAGAATTGATAAATGATTATGTTAAATATTACAGGCATAAGATTAGACACATGTGGATAATTCTTAAATACTCAATGTTACTAACAATGTTCATTTTATTATTATTCAAAATTTAGTCTTGTGTAATATGGACTCCCCTTCTAAGAATTAGAAACAATTTCATGCCAGAATAAACATCTGGGGTATCGCTGAATGTAGATTAAAATAATTCAAGTATCTTAATGGACCATAAGTTTCCTAGACTCAATTTCCATTTTGTTGTTCAAGTAATTTAAATTGGCTTTACTATTTTATTGGCATTTATGAACAAATTAAAACTATACAGCCTATGACCTCTGTAATCTACAATAGGTTACTTCTTGTAATTAGTAATTAAATCTGGAAAAATTTTATAGGACTGTATATATTCATTAATTTTCTTAAAATTAGTTTTTATTGCTGTTCTTCTGGGAACCCTTATGCTATCTCATTCAATAATCTCAGTCTGCTCCTCTAGCTTTTCCTCTGCTGAGAAACTGATGTGCTGAGGTGCTTCCATCAGCGGACAAAGTCATGCTCTAGCTTGCTGCCAGAAATTAGTACCCTTCCATACACTTTCCATTTCCACTCTACTGCCATATACTCGTGCAGTGGCTCTTACATCTGACATAGGAATGCCTACAGTGCTCTAGAAACCATCTAATATTGGGCCCTTTTTCTACACCATTTAAATCAGAACCTATGGGGACGAGCCCCAGACATCAATTTTTTAAAATTCTAAGGTCTTTCCTTTTCTACATATAAATTTTTCTGTTTAATTAGGAATATCATGTGGCTGGGGTTTAAACCAGATAACCATACTCTTCTTTTATAACCAGTCCATATG